CCCCCCGGCCGCGTGTTACAATAACAGCAGCATGTGATCCACCCTTTTAAGAGTTGCTACAAAGTCAAGGGATTATGTGTGAATAGAGCAGGAAGCAATGGGCCTGTCACAGGGAAAGAGGTGCTTTTCACTGAACGTGAGGAATTTAATAATCTCTTCTACATCCTGAACGTCCAAGTCTTAAGTAGAAGAAGAGTATGGAAGTTAAGAATAATGTGCAACTGCCAGTGATCTCGATTGAAAGGAAATCCAGACAGTTTGCGGAACACTTGCTTATTTTATATTGATTCTTTCTTCATAGCCACATGTGTATCTTGAGTGTTAGATAAAGAGATTAATATCACTCTTTTGTCAAAGTCAGCTATATTAGCTTAGCTGTTTGGTTAATTGTAATGAAAACTAATGTTTAAAAAACTTGAATCACTATTTTACTCACCCACCATTAAATATCTACTGTATGTCCTTCGAGCAATCAAGATGTGTTAAAAACCAGACAACTCAGTGCTCAAGTTCACTCTACAACCATTTATCTCAAATTGGTTGGGTTTCGACTGACAGAGGAGCTTCACTGAAGCTTTGACATTAAGATGACTGCTGCTGAGATATTTAACAAACTGGACAGTTGTGATGTGTAATAACACTTTTCATTGCTATTTTGCATTTTGTCTGTGGCTGTTAATACAGTGACTCTTGGAATTCAAAAATCAACTGTGGGTTTCCAGACCTTATCGAAAAAGCAAACTAGTCGGACAATGCCAGACTGAGCCTGAACATAGATTCACATATTTTCCTTTCAGATGGTGCGTTTTGCACTAAATTACCTCTAATGCTACTCCATAGAGTTCTGTTAAATACCAAGGTCTTATAGATTTCATGTCCTGAGTTTTTGTTGCAGGTATCTCCCACTTGTGAAAAAAACTAGAAACAAAACCAGAGGCAAAAGGGCAACACAATTACCATTGGACAAGTTAATCCTAATAAAACCTTATGTCAACACTTTTACAGTTGATTCAAATAATTTAACCATTAGAATTACAATATTTAGCTGTTTGTATTCTGTTGACATTATATGAATGACTCAAAAGAGCAAGCAAAATCACCCTTAATGATTGACCAATGACCTCATCTGGTTAAATGAACATTACTGTTCTGTTGGTGACAAAAATGGCAAAGTGCACCTTTAACACATCATCATGAATATTGCAGGTACATCGGGGCCCTGGGTGCTCGTGTGATCTGTGACAACATTCCCGGCCTGGTGAACAAGCAGCGGCAGCTCTGCCAGCGGCACCCGGACCTGATGCAGTCCATCGGGGAGGGAGCCAAAGAGTGGATCAGAGAGTGCCAGCACCAGTTCAGAAACCACCGCTGGAACTGCAGCACGCTGGAGCGAGACCACACTGTGTTTGGCAGAGTGATGCTGCGAAGTGAGTCTGCACATGTGCGACTGGGATTTCTATCTGTGTGGTTTCTTTTTGTGTGTGCGTGACACTGGTTTGTTTATCTCAGTGACACTGGAGTTAATCATCCTCGTAAATGTCTCCGCTCTTTGCAGATAAGCAAAGAATTAATAGGTGTCTTTTTAAAATTAACTTTGTCCCAAAATACAAACAGAAAGAGAAAGTGCTGTGTTTCTTTTAAAAAAAACTTCTCTGGAATGAGGGAAGATTGGGAAAGTGGCTGTTCTCTGAAAACAAGTAGCAGATCGAGAGATCCACGCTGGTGATGTATAAACAGTAATAGGAGATGTAAATATTTGGGTAGATGTTTCTGGCTGCCAGACAAAGTTTTACTCCCTGACATATCGCCTGTGTTCTGCTTCATTGCGTGAGCAGGAATGAGGACGGGAGGTGGGTGGGAATGCCAGACCAAATAACCTCCAAAATCTCCTCTTGTCTGAAATGAAAACACAGCCCAGTGACTGAGAAAGCTGCCATCTGTGCAAATTAAAAGGTGAAAGGAGAGTCGGCTGGACTGTGATGTTGTAGCTGATATGCCGTTACCTCTGTCTGGACCATCCACCATAAATGGACTGATTTCTGTGCTCCTGCTGTCTGGAATATACTTGAGAAAAGGCTGCTTTACTGAACAGCAACACAGTGCACAAAAGAGCAGTTCGAATCTTACCAAAAATAGTAACAAAACCAGCTGCATTGCAATGTTTGACAGCATATGAAACACTGTCATATATAAAACTAGAATGGCACTCAGTGGAGCGCATACCTCTGCCAAGGCCCAACAGTCCTATTAAACTCAATCAAGCTGCACCAAATCCCCCCCACAATATGTTTATATTTAATCCAGATCCATGAATTATTCCCTGGAAAAATCAGTGAAAATGTAAAAAGAAAAACGCCCTAATGGAAGTGAAAAAACATTCTTGGATCTGCCACCTTGTTCAGATTGGCACCACAATTGTACGGGTTCTTTCTTAGCCCATGTCTCATCTTTCTACCAAGTTTTGTGAAAATCTGTTGTGTAGTTTTTGTGTAATACTGCTGGCAATCAAACAAGCAAACCAACACAGGTAAAAACATAATTGCTTTGGTGGAGGTAATAAAAGTTGACATTCTCTGATCAAACTTCTTATTTCTTTGCGCCCAGGCAGCCAAGAGGCAGCGTTCGTGTATGCCATCTCCTCGGCAGGGGTGGTCTACGCCATCACCAGGGCTTGCAGCGTGGGGGAGCTTAAGATCTGCAACTGTGACAGCCACAAGCGTGGACGAGCAAGTGACGACAGGGGCAATTTTGACTGGGGTGGATGCAGCGACAACATCAACTATGGCATAAAGTTTGCCAAGGCTTTCGTAGACGCCAGGGAGAGGATGGTGAAAGACGCCCGTGCACTGATGAACCTGCACAACAACCGGTGTGGTCGGATGGTGAGTGGAAGCTTTAGTTTTTACACCTGTTTCCTTTGTCTCATGATGTAGAAACAAACCATGTTTTACTTAACACAGATTAGGATTGATTCTGCACTGTTCAAATAACTTTAACCAAATTTTCTCTTCTATACAACAGGTTGCTTGTTCTAATTTTTTATATCGGCTGATCTCTGTAACGGAAATATTTAACTACCTTACATTGGTATCATAATTGGCCCCATTAAAACTCATACCAGTGAAGGATTTAAGCTAACAACTGCGATCACACTTAAATCAAGCCACGGGCAACATCCTCGGCTTAACACCCTGTCACCTCTGACCCCTGCTCTAGGCAGTGAAGCGGTTTATGAAGCTGGAGTGCAAGTGTCACGGGGTCAGTGGCTCCTGTTCTCTGAGAACCTGTTGGCTGGCCATGTCTGACTTCAGGAGAACTGGAGACTACCTCCGCAAGAAGTACAACACGGCCATCGAGGTGACCATGAACCAGGACGGGACGGGATTTATGGTGGCTGACAGGGACTTCAAGGGAAGCACCAAGAATGAGTTAGTATACGTGGAGAACTCGCCAGATTACTGTCTCATGGACCGAGCAGCTGGTGAGTGAATGAATGAAAAGACTTAAGAATTAGTTTTTTTGAAAAACTTGTGTTTATACAATAAGAAGACACAGACACACACACGGCATTAAAAAAGTAAAAGAGAAAGTATAGGTGACTGAAACTGTATGATGATGATCAACATTTTCTGACATGCTGTATTCTGAAATCTCTTCTCTACTTATCCAGTTTTCCACCATAGATGATCAAAATTTTGTTTGCGGCCCTTGCACGTCTACAGCCCCACCCCCCCCTTATTACTTCCACCAAGAAGGTTGTTTTCATCGACATTTTGTTTGTTTGTTAGCTAGTAGGATTTTGCAAAAATCACTTAACCGATTTCAATTAAATTCTGTGGAGGGGTGGGGCATGACGCACAAAAGAAAAATTAATTTTGTGAAGTGGATCCAGGGATTTTTTTTCGTTAACCCTGCAAAATGGGTGTTAGCCTTGGCAGAGGGATATGCACAGTCTAGTGGGCTTTCATTTAACTGGGTTCTACATCAGCAAAACACCTAAAGTCTTAATTTTGATATTCAATTCCATGTTTATGAGGTTTTTTAGAAATAATTAATAGATTAAAAAAAATTCTTGTTTTAATCTACATTGTACAAAGACAAACATAGTTGGTTGGATGACACATTTTTAAAATCTACGAGAATTTGACGCATCCACTGAAGGCTTGCATTCCTCCGCAGCTTAAAGTTCAATCATTTGACCTTTAACATCTCCTTTAATTCCGAGTGTTTGCTTTGTCTTGTTAAGCTCCGTCTCTCTCCTCCAATCCAGCCTCTTCAATAGAGCGTGAAGGAGCTCACTAACTCACTGTTAATAGTTTAGGGAAGTTGTCATAGTGCATATGTGGGGGAGACACGATGGTTCTGATTTAAACAGATTCTCCCACACCTCCCTGCTGCTAGCATGGTTACAGGTTGGTGGTACAACCTGAGGGGTAATGAAGGTGTGTTCACTGAAAGGAAAGGCCATTCTTCCTTGTTAAAATTGATCTTAAAAAAAAAAAAAAAAGAGCTCCTCACAACTAATCTCCATTGTATAGGAATTCACAGCCTAAGGATACATGCAGGCTTATTTGTCAAATCTCTCCTTTGGTCAGTAGTAAGTGCCACTCCCTAGAGCCTGAGGGGGATATCTCATCGTTTCCCTGACCCTTTACTTCAGGGATGTGCTGTTATTAGTCGTGGCATCTGATCTTAGGCCTGGGATTTTACACCTGAGTACATGATGGACACCTTTGTGTTTGGGTCTGAGACGATTCTGTCAGGGAGCCTGGAAGCCTAAACCCCACTGAAGAGTGTGGGAACTCTGATACTTCACTTTGTAAAAATAGTTTCAGTTTTCAGCTTGAAACTTCAGAGGTGATCACCTGCCAACATTTGCTCTTCTGAACAGCTATGTCATCACTTGAGGACAAACAATAAGCAGCCAACTATCTAGAGTTACTGTAACAGCAACAGAAATGGTGAGAGTAATTCCTGAAAAACAGCACAGAGAACCTACTTCTTTTAAAGCTGCACTAATGTGCTGTATATTTCCATGTATATAATACACATACAGCTTTGTGTAATGTTTAAGGGGTTAAAGCCATAGAGAAGTATCCCAACTCAGAGTCCACTGGCTATTTTCTGATGACAAATTAAACTCTGGGGGCAATTGCCAATATTTTGGGACTTCTAGTGTTGAGTCAGACAGTGGATATCCAGGCCAAAACTCCTTCTGTTCGACGCACACTGTTTACAGTCCAACTAGTTTCTTTTATCACACAATTTGAATGTTTCTCCACACAAAATACAACAGTGATACCTTTTGTAGGCATTTCAGGGCCAGATGACATTTTGGATGATATCTTTTACCAGCTAACAGCAAATGAATGCAGATAAATAAAAGTCTTCCACCTCTTTCGTTCTCAACAGGAACCAAAGCTTGCTCAAATGCGATTTTGGAAACCAGAAAACTTTGCAGCCCCCTCATATTCGTATAATCTTATATCTAGCATATTTACATGTAAAGTCTGTTTGTAGAGATAACCAACCGCATGACTATGATATATTCTACTGCGTCCATGTTCGTACAAATCTTCGCTACTCATTTTTTTAAACATAATTAATATTAATTTTGCATTTACAAAATTACCATATCATGTACTGTCCGTATTTAACTGAAGTCTGACAAATTGTGTTTCCTACAAATATACATGAATTTCTGTCAGACTGGATGATGAGTATTTTTACTCAAAAACTGCAGCATTTAACTCCTTTGATCTCTTTACAGGCTCCTTGGGCACATCGGGCAGAGTGTGCAACAAGTCTTCAAGAGGCACGGACGGCTGTGAGGTCATGTGCTGTGGGCGTGGCTACGACACAATGCGAGTCAAGCGCGTCACCAAGTGCGAGTGCAAGTTCAAGTGGTGCTGCGCTGTGGAGTGCCAAGACTGTGAGGACATGGTGGACATTCACACCTGCAAGCCCCACAAGCGACCGGACTGGCTGGACATAACCTAAAAAGGAGGAGCCGTCACCACAGTCACCACTGACTCATTAACCCCTGCGCTTTTGACTGCATTTTATAACGAGATATATGATTGGGATCCTTTAACTGTAATACCTCTGACTTTTGAGCCTTTGACACTTCAGAAGCTTTTTGCTAAACTGGAAAATATACCAGTTACTATGTGTTGCTTTTATCTAAGAACAATTTGATGAAAAAAAAAACAGACTTGTAAATGCACCGTTTGTTTAGGAAGAAATATGAGGTAATGTCTTCTTGATTTATGTAAAGATGATGTGAGCACATAATTGAGCTCAAACTCATGATCATAGTAATGATCATAATAGCAATTTTTGCCTTAAGAAATAGAGATGGAAATATCTTTCAGATTTTGTACAAACACTGACACATTTAAATGACATTAAACCATTGTATGGTTCTGCAACAAATCATGTAAAAAAAAACAAAGACTGTTTGCTTTTGATTAATGCAACTATAACAAACTAACAACCGGTTGTTTCTTGACAAAGGACAAATACTTGCACTGTGAAAACAAAGGAACAAAAAGCAGGAGAATAATAAAGTAAGTTCAGTTGCAATGGCAGCGCTCTGTACAGCGGTGGTTCTCAGGAGAAAAAAGGGCACACCAATAGGACAAAAGAAGTTTCAAATGGACTGTGGACTGTTGTCTGGAAGAGTCAACATGTTCACACATCATCCTACGTATCTGAATCTCAATAACTAACTAACTAACTGGAGTTGTCTCATGCAAATAGTTTCATTTTTTACCAACAGCTAGCAACTGTCCAGATCATAGACTATATATAAAGATATGATGCTATGAAGTATTAAGGTCCTGCTGATACATGCTTTTGATCAATTGCAAGTCAGTCTCAGCTGTCAATCATGACTTTTCAACCTGTTTTTAAACACATCCATTGTCTTCCACTTATCTGGGCACTGAGGTAGCCGCCCAAGTCGGGTATCCTGAACATCCCTCTCCATAGCAGAGCTTTCCAGCTATCCTGGGGAATTCTGAGGCATTCCTAGACCAGATGGGATATTTAGTCCTGCCAGCAAGTTCTAGGTGTACCCCAAGGTCTCCTCCCTGTTGGGCATGCCCAGTAAACCTCCAAAGGAAGGCTCTCAGGAGGCATCCTCACTAAATGCCTGAGAAAAATGTATACAATGTGTACCTTGACTTTTTATTTGGCCAATATTTCATCTGCGATCATGGAAGAATGAGGGTTTATGATCTATACTGCAGCCAGCCATGCAATTAAAGTGATTTGGCTTCACTTTGTCATGTCTTCCATCATTATAAACCAGCGATGGCTCAGACAGACAAAAGTTATGTATCAAAACCAGCCCCCATAGTCAGTCCAGTGAGGCCTTTGGGACAAAATAATGTTGGTATGAAGTTGAAGCCAGTTCAACTTTTGTCAGAGCACAATGTAATGTCATCTGACAAGCATGAGCCAGTTGAGCATATTCCGAGTTGATTTGTTTGAGACAAGAATGATGCAATTCCAAATTAAAATCGATGACAGTAATATTATGTTTGAAGTGATGACTTTTCGAAGTTGTAATTTCCTGTTCCCCGCAACAAATTGAGGTGATTGGGTGTAACTCACAGATTTATGTCTCAAACTGGCCTTCAGAAATCCTGTCTCATCTAATGCTCCACCAACACAACGCCTTGATTTTTTTTGTCTGAAACAGGGTTGATTTTGATGTGAATACTCTGTTAGTTATCATCATTTAATATAGTGTTAAAACACATTTGTATGCTTGAATATTTTCATCCATCCAAACTTGAGTGGTAAGCAAGACATGAAGGCGGAAGGTTTTAAATTTTGTGTACAGTAAGATATTAAAACAAGTTTAAAGCTGTAAACTTAATATTTCTCATTGCTTGGTCTTCATTACACTACAATACTACACTACTTTCTATTGTTATCACATTGTGGAAGAATCTTTTTACAATGCAATCTTATGCAACTGTGCTTTGAATCCTTTGTACACATATTCACTGGCCCCGACTGGTTTGTGAGAAGTGAAGTATTTCGTGAAATGGAGCCAAGACGTTGCAAAAAGAGCAGTGAAGTAGCTGCAGACCCTGAATTTGACTTTTCAACATCTGGTAATGCAGCTAAACATGATGTTGGGCCATTGGAGACTCAACCCTCTGAGGGGGTTTTGTAGATCTAAATGAATCTGACAACAAGCTGTGGATGCTGAGAGTCAACAAATTGTTTCAAGTCCACGTAATGAGGACGAGAGCCAAAGTAAAGCTCTTTGAACAATGCCAAATGACACGCTGCGTCAAATGTTCACAAGTCAAAAGTTAATTGCAAGCACAAAGGGCTGTGTTGAATGTAAATGAAGAGTATGATGGCTGTGTTTTTCTTTAAGATTACAAAAGGTGAGGGCCGTTCACACACAGTGAGGGCCGTCGTCAGCCTGTCCTTCTCCAGCCTTCAAAACTTCACAGTGCTGCAGTAGTTAGAATGTTTCTGTGTGGAGGTCTCATGTTCTCCCCACAATCCAAAGACAGGCGGGTTAATTGGAAACTCTAAATTGTCTGTGGGTTTGAATGGTTGTCTAAATGAGTCACAGAAATTCGCAGATTCAAGTCACAAACGCAGAAGAAAACAATTTACAGAAATTGTGTTGTTTTGTGTGAAGGAACCACATCCCTAAATTGTGTACTTCGCTGCAGCTTACCAGGTAATATCCCTGCAGTGGATGACCTAATCAAACTATGCTTTGTAATCAGATTCTGCCACAAGGAAATTTGATCCTCAAATCTGTTTACGATCATCCTTTGAGAAGACACTGTCCTGAATTGGGCTTACTCAGAAGAAAACAAGAAATTCAATTGGAAGAGGAAGCAGTGGTGTTTGTGTCCTGCTGTACCACAAATGCCAATTGAATTGCCAATGGATACAACCAGCAATATCGCTGCATCTGTTTATCGCATCCCTGATGCTCAAATATTTCTGACTTCTAATCTCAGAGAATGTTTGAGCCTTTTCTCACAGATGACATTATTTTCTTGTCTGAGTTATACTCAAACTTCTCGCTAATTAATCACTTTAATGCCGGAGAATCCGGTATATAACAGTTTAATTAATAAAATTCTACAACGATAGCCACGAAACGTTTATGTCCAAGTCAATCTTTTGTCTGGTCAGACATTGGTACATCAGTGTCCTGGTGTGTGTTACTGTCTTGGGAGGTATTTTCACCTTGGAAATGCAGGTCCCAAAATACGTTAGTGGTTCTATATTAAACCTTGTTGATCCACCCTCTGTCACTTTCATTAGAGGTCTGTTCTCCTCAAGCTTATATGGCCTGCTATGCTATAGCCCTGATTCAACTTTGGCATGGAGAGGATAAAGATAATGCAACCAACGAGGTTAGTGCTTTAAAGTTCAGTTCATTCAGAGCAGATGGTTTGATATAGAATATATTTCCAGTTGAATTACAGTAGTATTATAGGGCAGTGTTTAAATAAATGAGGAGCGTAATGACTTGCTTTACATGGAGTAGATGAATAATGCTTTGCTGATCATTAAAATGTGTCACAGTATCCATGCTGCTTTGTCCCCCACGATGTGACATCCAGCTGAAGTCTGTAAAAATAACTGGAGTGGCATCAGAGGTATTCTCTGCCATCATAGTGATATCAAATGGGCATCACCACTCAACAGCATTTCAGAGCTAAAATTGGCCCAGGGGAGAGACTAACAGTGTGGTCTACATGGATGTTTCACATTCAGGGAAACTAGCGGAGAGAAATGTTGTAATCTATGCTTAGGAGTCAAAAACAATTCAGCGTTGCATCAATTTCATAACAAACATGTTTAGTTTTCTCCTTGAACTCATCTGACTAGTCCTCCATTCCTCAAACGCTGAGCTCCCTCCAACCATATGATTAATATCTGTGATATACAGCAATATGGGAAATATGTTGATATGTATATTGTGAAATTGTTGGTCTCACGACTATATAGGAAGTGTTGAAAAGGGCTTTCACTGTGTTTCTTGGAATAGAAGGTGACCCTTATGACCCTATCAGCACTAATTAAAAACCCCATGCGCACATGAAGTTGGACTTGACTATAGCTGCTATAGAATAGTGTATTTCTCGTCCTTGCCAAGTGACATCATACTTATAAGTGGAAACAAGTTATATCCACATAAATCTCACAATGTTTCTATAGTGCAGATAAATACTCCTGTAAACTAAATGATCTTTTAATAGCATAAACCACGGAAAAATGCATTGTAGGCATCTAACCTACTAACATCCCTAGTGACATACACTGACTGATTCAGTGTCTTTCTTCCATTCAAGAATTCAGACAGCTAACTATGCGAATTGGATGGCACCGAATTAAATGATCATATGCATAAAACTTATGTGAATTCCGAAACTCATCTACAGCTATTCATTATGTGTAAAATATTTGTATAAAGCAGATATTTGGCATTTAGGCAATGACCTCATCAGTCTCCGCAACATATACAGCAAAATCAGCACAGTAGAGATAGAGGAGATAAGAAACTTCCCCCTAAGCTAAATCAGATGCAGAGCCTGACGCCAGCTATGAGGTGGAATCTGCTTTATATAATCCACAAACACCAGCTGACAAATGCCAACTTTCCTGCAAGGCATCACAGACAGCAATATGAGAAATGAGATGAATAAGTCCTCCAGCAATCCATCTGATGTGCGTGAGCAAAGAAAAGCTGCAGGCTTCAGCTATGTGAAGGGTAATATTAAAAACCTATGCATCTTAAAGGGACAAAAAAGTGTTCACAACACACTTGAAATAGACACACAAGCTGTTAAGCAGCAGCAAGCATGGATACGACTCAGTTGGCAATGAGTGCAGCAGTAGAGTAAACCAGAGCCACATGATGACTGGACAAATGGAGAATGTCGTGAAAGTTAAGATTAATAACCATATATTAGTTTCTAAACTGCCATGTTTGAAAGAGGATCATAAAAACAAAAGATTGATAAATAAGGAAAAGTCACACCATCTTGTGCACAGTCATGGATCTCAATCTGCGTAATGTAATAGATTTTTTTCAACTGAATCTGCAAATGATTCCCTGGGGATTCAGTGAAAATGTCAAAAACATATCTCGTAAAGTTAAAGGAAGTGATATCCTGGATCCACCCCTTTCTCCAGATCTGTGACAAATTGTCATGTGTTCTTTCTTGGCCCATATACCATCCTTTTACCAGACCACTTCCTGTTTGGTCGAAACCCTTCAGCATTTTTTAGTGGAAACCTGCTGACAAACAAACCAATTCACAAACGAACAGCAGAGAAAGCAGCAGCCAGCCATGTCCAAAAACCACTTCAACACATAGGACTCAAAATACTCTGAGCATGAGTGTAGAGGTTGATCACCAGGAAATCATGAATCATCAGAACCAACTGTGCCAAAGAACAAGCAAAAACAAAGTAGCTGCAAGGAATCAAGAACACAAACACGAGCCGAACACAGACAAGACGTCAAACAGGCCACAAAGAACTTACCTTGATAAATGAAGGAGGAAACCTTTGTCCCCTGAGCTGGTGTGAGGCCGGACATGAGGACAGCTTCCTGTTTTAATGTGTTGTAGCAGCAACAGAGAGCTAACTGCTCCTGTCTGGGGCTTTGGATTGTTAGCTTCTTAATAAAATGTCCCATTAGTAACTGTTGGCTGGTTAGCTTCTTCACTATATGTCCCATTAGTAACTGTTGGCTGGTTAGCTTCTTCACTATATGTCACATTAGCAACTGTTGGCTGGTTAGCTTCTTCACTATATGTCACATTAGCAACTGTTGACTGGTTAGCTT